ATGCATACCACAGGGACCATTTTTACAGTTTTGTCTGTTTCATATAAGAGATAAGAGATGAGTTTGGTAACCAAATTTAGTTTTACTATATATATTGGTAAATAAATTTACTCCAATTTAACGAGCTTAAATTAACTATATTATTTTGTATGTTTTTAATTCTTTTTTAATATATATATATATATATATATATATATATATATATATATATATATATATACACACTACATTATAATGCATTTATAATTGTAGGCTCCACAATTTTTAAGACCGAAGTCTTAGTTTACTAAGGAGGTGAATTTTTGGTCATTAGATTTTTTTGGATGGTCTAGATTTTATTGATGGCGATACAAGTGAACAAGTTTAAACCGATCATAGTCTGTATTTTAAAGCTCATTTGAACCATCACACAGATCAAATCATTAGATTGATCGGACACCGTTGCGTCTCTTCGATCCCCCACCCCCCTTTAAACCAACTAATGCAGCCACATCCTTTGAAGCCTTAGATTCTCGAATTCTCTTCATCTCTCTAACCGTCGTAGATCTAAACACCATTGCACCTCTTTCGTTCTCCACCTTCATATCCCGGCATCACCTACTGTCGCTGCCATCATGAATCATCCCCATCGTTACAACGATCATGCACTACCAGACAAACACATAAGAACCACCAACATTGCACTACCACCAGACCACTAACCCACCATCACGCTCTCTAAAAGCCGTCATACGCGTCATATGTCCCCATCACTTGTCGCCTTCAAGTTTACACCCACCACATCCGAACGTTGCTTTGTGTTGAAAAACCTCCCCATCGTATAGAAAAACCTCAGGTTGGTTTTTCTTTAGCTGAAATTTGTATTTTTGTGTGTTTGTCAAGGTTTACAACTCAATCAAGCATTCTAACATTGTGCTTGGTCTTTATCTTAGCCATTTAAAATCGAAGGATAAGAGACACGACACCCATGTTCGTCCACCGGTTCTATGCCGCCTTCAAACTCCGTACAGACTTCATTACCACAAAAAAAACTCAATATCTGTCTCCTCGGCACAGAAATCCTAAACTGTACCACCATCATGCTACGAAACATTCCTTACCGCTCTTATTTTCCCTTACCCATGACCTTAACAACCACCGTTTTTACATCCGCCCCCTCTATCTACTATTTTGTTGTCGATACAGAATCCATAAACCCTTGATATGTGAGTATTTCTAGCAAACCTCCTCACAGTTACATTCACATTTATTTACCCCTTTTAGTTTTAAGACACTTAACTGAAACATAGATCAGAAAAAAGTATTTGTTTTTCGGTTTGATTTAATAGAGGATCTGATGGATTCGTTCTTGAAAGAGGAAGTAAAAGGCAAAAAATTTTGTTAAATTTACTTTCTTTGCTTTGTGATAAATCTGATGTTTGATGTTTTTTGGTTTAGGGAATTTTGGATTCCTTCGGAAGTGAAAAATAAATGCATAAAGAGATCGAGTATTTGATTAATGGCATGAATATGGTTAAAGTGGAGTAAATATGGGTTTATTTATTGCTTATATAGTTAGCTTCTAATATAAACTTGAGTTCACTATAATTCACATAATTAGACCATGTTTCATGCATTTTAATCACAATTTACTTCACTTGGAAAAATTGATGTTAAAATATGAAGTCCGTCTCTTAAGCGATAACAATTGTACTTGCTATTATTAAAATTAAGTTTTGGATCGTTAATTTCATCTCGAGTTTAAATTTCTATTTTGATTCTTTTATATTGTGGATATTGAGTAGCAAATCTGGTAATATATTTGAGTTTTTGTATACCTTTTAGATTTTATAAGTGATGTTTGTGCTTTGTGCAAACCTGATGTTGTGCATTAATTTACATTTGATCTTGAGTTTGTGAATTTCTTTGACTTTTTTCAGTCAAGTGTTTCCTAATTTGATATTTAAGGAGTGGTATTCAAGTGAGTTTTTACATATTGTAGTGAAGAAACATGGTATTTGTTTAGCTTTATTCATTGATCCTGTTAATGCATTTTTATTCAAGGAGCTCTTAGAACCAGTAAGACTACAAATCATATTAGCTTTTGATTTCTTGCATATTATTTACTTTGACCAAATAATGAACCAATTTTAAAGCTTAATGCATCAGCTAACATATGATAGTTCTGTTGATTACTAATTTATTAATGTTCAATCTGTTTCAACTGCTTTTTAATCTTAGTGTTCTTTTTTGTTTGACCTCCCATAGGCATCCATGTTGCGAGTTGTAACCCTAGGGAAAGAAAATGATGGGATTTTCCACTCAGATGGTAGTGTTTTTCCCCAGGTATAAAAGATAAATATATTATTGTATTAAATAGAAAAGGGTAATAAAAAATCTATCAGAGGGTAAAAATGTCATTTGAGATTTGGGACCATTACGGTAACCAAATCCAAACTCAATGGTATAATTATAAAGAAGTTTTTTTGGACCGAGATTCCTAATGTTTGCCAAGGCATGACTAGAATGTTTGGACTGATATTTTTCAATCATATTTACAAGTTGTAATCACATTTTGTGTATTAAAATGGATATGATGGCGCTTGAATGTGCAGCACAAGAATACTTCTCTTCCCTGCATTGGAGTATCAAGGTAAGCTTGTATCTGGATATTCAATCTTGTGCATCAAGTTTTGGAGTTTTTTATGCGGTAACCCATCTGGTATTGCATATAACTGGTTTGTACCCCTCCACATCTCCACATGCAGCTTGCTATTTGGACAGATTTTTCAACTTTGTTTATTTGTCAAAATAGCGACCTACTTTGATTGTATTGTGTGTTGTGATGTTGAAGTGTTGTGAGCTGTGATTGTGTAATTTTTTTTTTAACTATAATGACTTAATAAAAAAAATGATGATGTAATAGAAAGCAACTAAAACAGGATGCTATTTATTATAACATTAGGTGTGAGACTCATGTATTACATGGGTTAAATAAAAAAATTAAATATCAAAATGTAAACATTAATTATTTTTTAAAATTAAATTTTAAAATAAGGAATGAAAAAACATATTTATTGTAATTTATAATCATATTTATTACATTTAATACTTTACATATATATTATATGTATTATGTGGCTTTTAATTTTAAAAATTAAAAAAACCTAGAAATTGACATGTGGATACTATTAATTTCAAAAATACCACAAAATGACAAGTGTCAAAACCTATGAGAGATTGACATGTGGCAAAATGGATTTTCATTTATTAGAGTAGAAAATAGATAGATAATATTCCCTTTCTATTTATTTCATTTTTACATTTTTCCAGTAAAAAGCAAAAGAAAAAATAGCAATATAGTTTCATCGACTTGTTTATATAGCACCCTACTTTCAAGTTTTATAGTAAAAAAATTATTTTTGTTGTTTTTTTACCAGGTTTGGTGTTTAATTGTTGGTACCTGCACTCTCTTTTGGTTCATTGAAACTACATGTGGATTGGATGACACTTAAGATGAAAATACTTGGTGTATGCATTAATGAGGATGCAAATGTTAATGTAAATGTCGCTAAATGTTTAAACTGCTTTGATGGATTTAGTAGATGTAGACTTGATTATAATAAAAGTAGGGGGCTTTTATTTGTAATGGATTATTATCTTTATGACATTTCAACGATTTACAATTAACAAAGTTAATTCTTTTGCCTGTTAAAAAATCAGATGATTTGATATATCACAAATGATTTAAGGATCAACACATTGACACGAAGAGCAATCCACTTTCAAAATGGAACCAATAAGAGCAATAAACTTCCAAAATGAAACCAAGAATGACAATGCACTAATATTATTAACTATTATTAACTATTGGCGGTGTTTATAATCCTATATTTGCAAAAAAGTAACAATCAAGTGATCAACACGAATTTAACAACATAGCACTAGAAAACCAATTTGAAATCCGACACTTTTGTATACCAGATTCCAAGTTCCAACATACCAAATACATATAAAAAAAAATCTCTTTATTCTGCGATAATGATGTTTCTGAATTCAGATTATGCATGAACATTTAAATTACATATCAAACTGTTTCATTATACATGACTTAAATTCATTAAGAATTTCATTAGACCCTATAAAAATTGAACACAAAATCAAAAACTTACTTGAGTTTCATCCAAATCTTTATCAACCCAATTAGGGCATAAACTTTCATGGTGATGGTGGTGATTTTTGATTCTTGGTTTGGTTCGCCATTGTTGACAGGGTCGAACAAGAGAGGAAGAAGTGACGATTTTTTTTCCCGCTCACAATACACACGTCACAAAGGAGAGGAGATGGAATCAATATTTTTGGCTCACAATACACACAACAGAGGAGAGGATGGAATCAGGATTTTTGTTTAGGGTATGACCATATGATTAGGTACTGGTTTGTTTTTTGGAAAGGACACCTCTACATTTCTCATGGGCAAAACCACAAACACCTTATGGGCAAAAGCAATGTTACCATTAACAACCACAGATGACTCACAATTTTTTCTTGAGAAAATAGCATCTAAAAAGGCAAATAAAGTTTTGTAAATGGTGGTGGACGACCAAGGTGTTTCAAGTTATATGTTAAGTCATTTGTGAACACATCCAACAGGCAATGGCAAAGAAATGTATGGCCATAATGAATAATTAGAAAAGCATAGGATTGCAGCTAAAGGTTTGATGAAATGCCATGCTTAAAAACCACAAAATGCAGAAAAAAAAAATTTAGCATATCAATGTACATAGAAACATCGAAATATTGGGATATGGTCTTTGTTCTATGTTTTCTATCATATCAACATAAAAGATTTGCAAAAATATGAAATTGATGATTACACGAGTAAACAATAAGAATCAACATATGTTGACAAGTAATAATAAGAAACAAGAATGATCTATAACCTATGTTTTAAAGGTTCAATGGCACATACCCTCAAAACTAGAAGGAGGAAGAAAAGCATATGTGAGAGAGCGACTTTTTCACACGCCATATGGTGATGGTGGTGCCCTGGACGCCATGCTTGTAACTTGAGCTTGCATCTGTATTGCTCTAACCTTCACAGATGTTGCACGATGAAAGAATTGTTCTCGAGACAACAACCTCACATTCCTTAAATACAGATCAAAGGGTATAGACCCTTCTTGCACAGCTTTATCCAAGGCATAAACAACATCTTCTATAGCAAGATCAGATGCTGTACAGTCCATCATCTGTTTAGAAAGAGAATCAGATGGAACAATAGCATCATCAGGACTTATATTTGACAAATCTCCACCTAATTTGCCCTCATTTTCTCTCACCCATCCTTCTAACACATCTGTATTCATCAAAACCATCTGCAATTGCTGCTCCAAATCCGCTTTCTCATCTTGCATCTGTCGTAACCCTATTGAAAGCTCCTCCTCTCTCTGCCGTAACACTGCCTGAGCACTAAACATCCCTTCCATTTCAGCCTCTCTGGTTTTCCTCAACCGGGCGACGTCACTATGCACATTCTCCACCAGCTTATTAATCGCATTCCGTTTGTAAACAAAGCTCGGGTCCTCGAAGGACCCAGACCCAAACCTCTGAGGCGGAGAAGGCGATGGAACCCTCCCGCTGTCGCTCACATACGGTGACGGTGGGTATGTCCGAGGTGGGATGGCTGGCCGGATAGATCCAGATGAAACCGATCCCGATGATCCAGATGCATTGAAACTAGGGCTAGGGCTAGGGCTTGGGTTTGGGTTAGGGTTAGGGTTTGGTCTGCGTTGCGAGTATAACGGTGGATCGCTGCCGAAATAATTACCCAAATTACGAGCCAGATCAACCAAATTAGAACTAGGGTAAACCCAATTTTGCAAATAAGGGATCGAAACTAAACCAGATGGATTAACAAAAGGATGTTGGCGCTTGATCACCATATCGCGAGTAGGATTCACGAAGACGAGAGGAGGATGGCGAGGGTAAGTCTCCATGAGCCAGATGACGACGGGTATGTTGTAAGTAACATTCTGAAACACCATCGGAACTGTGCCCTCGGACTGGAGAAGGTTGACAGAGCGGCCGTCGTTGTGGGTAAACGTGGCGGTTTTGGGCTGAAGAGAGGGGTAGGCTTCGGAGAGCGAGAGGAGGTGTTGACGGATAAGCCACTTCACGTCTTCGGAGTATGGAAGGGAAGATGGACCGCGTTGGGACAGGACGGAACTGAGAAACTGTTGAGTGTACTGGGCCATTGAAGACGTCGGAGAAGGCGGCGGAGGCACCATTCTTTACTCCAGTGATTGAATTTTGATCGGAGAATTCGATTGAATGGAAGTTTAGAGAAGAAGAAACCTTCAGAGTATAATTGCTTCTGTGCTAAGTTGTCACAGCTGGTAAACAAGAAAACAAATATATCATTTTTGTACATGTACTTTAAAAGTTCTGCAATTTATACCCTTTCCAAAAACAAATATATCATATTTGTACATGTACTTTAAAAGTTAAAAGTTCTTCAATTTATACATGCTCCCATTACAACTATTTTAACAAATAAGTAAGGGGTACCAATAAAAACTTATGTATATATATTTGATATAAAGACATAATTTAAATAGAACTAGTTATGTATATATATTTGATAAAAAGACATAATTTAAATAGAACTAGAAGGTTTGTCCTCTGTTTCACTATGAGTTAAAGACGTTTGTTTGTGGGTTGATTGAATTTTTGCATTATGTGTTTAGAGACAAAAAAAAAAAAAAAAATTTAAGCATAGATTATTTTATTGTGTTTTCCAACTTCGTCATTGGATACAAAGAAAAAAACCTGAGGCAAGGAACCATACATAATCACCTGTGAAATGAGGAGCAACACATAAAGCAAGGAACCATATACAAATCACCTGTAAACTGAGGGGCAAAATGATAACTCATGCATGCCTTGCAACCAGTGGGATGCTAACTTATCTTGGATTAAGTAAAGGGATAATGACTTAAAAGGGTAATATATTTTTCAATTTCACTGATTTTTTTCGTCAACGTTTACCCATTCAATTTGTTAAACTGTACACATTCAGTCCTTATGATCGTTTACTCCAGGTTAGCCGGAGAAAAATGACTTAATAGGGTAATATATTTCTCATTTTGTACAAATTTAGTCCTTAATATTTTTGTACACATTTAGTCCTTAATATTTTTTTGTTTCAAAATAAATCATTTTTGTTTTTGTACTCATTCAGTACTTATAAATGATTTCTTTAGGTGTACAATCATGTCTTCACCTTCCCACGATCGACGATAAAACCTGAAAACATAAACAACTTGGTAAGCACAAAGTTTAGTGAATTTTTCCCAAAATACTCGATACAACAAATGTATTATCATACATAACGAGCCCACACTCATCAGAATGGAATACCTTGGCCCAATCAGTTATCGGACTGGAATGCCAACATACAACAAGTCCAATCAGTTTGATGACTGGAATACTCAGGGTTTGTCGGCATGCCACCTTAACCCAACCGCTCTTCTCGAGCCTCCGTGCCTACACCTTACAGCCGGCCCGGACCAGGTATCTTAGCCTACAACATATAGCAATACCACCTCAACCTATCCCACAACTATATGGCTATCCCACGTAAGATGTCGTGTGGAAAACCTAAAAAAATCATTCATAAATGAGTACAAAAACAAAAATGACTTATTTTGCAACAAAAAAAATATTAAGGACTAAATGTGTACAAAGTGAGAAATATATTACCCTATTAAGTCATTTTTACCGACTAACCTGGAGTAGCCGGTCATTAGGACTAAATGTGTACAGTTTAACAAGTTGAAGGGGTAAATGTGCACGAAATAAAAGTCAATGACTAAATATGTACAAATCAGAAAATACATTACCCTTTTAAGTCATTATCCCTTAAGTAAACTTGTTATCAAAGCTTTTGCTTTCAAATTAGACTTTAACAACATCCTTCCTAAGCTATTAAATAAAAGATAACTCCACATTAAATTATATAAAAACTATAGTTTAATGAAACTTAAAAGTTTGAATATATTTTGTTTTTATCTTAGAAGACTCATTATCTGAAGTTCCCGTGGAGAACTTGGACTTCTGACGTACCACATCAGAACCAATCTGCAAACTCATTGTCAAGCTTTCAGTTCCCCTTTTTAACCCTTGAAGTTTCATATAAGCTTCCATGATCAATTGACTATCTAACCCATTATGTAATGCTTCATTGGCTTCCAAAAAGGAATGACATGCTCTTTCTTTAATAATTTTCCAATAACTTTAAGCATAAAACCACTGATGTGCATAGAAAGTTTTAAATTTATAACCTAACAAAACTTAACTATTAATGCACTTATAGACAGTGTACCTAGTCAGTTTATAATATAGAAAAATAAGTCGGGTATCGATCATAGGGAACATTATTTAGTCAATAAAATAACTATTAAGAACAACTAAAGTGGGGGTTTTTATCTGATTTTGCAAGTTCAGATTAACTTAACTACTCAATTTACTCAAAATTAACGCAAAAAACTTACTAAAGACGATTGTAATCAAGAGAATAAAGACACTTCCGTTTAGCTTTGAATCCCCCTTTTTCCTATGGTTAGTTTCAAAACATGGATTAATTCAGTTGGTTACCAATATAAAAGTTATTAGAAGTCTTGATCTGATCTCCTAAAATTTTCACCAATTCATGAACTACTATGCAATGATCATACACAAGTGGACACCAAATTGATTATTTAATATTTTTGGGCTATGTAAGATAAACCTGAGGTTAATTATCTATGATCAAGACAAATAATCAAACATGATTATGATCAGATTATGTTTTCTAGCACAATTAAAGTTATTTTCTTTATTACCTAGTCTAGGATCTGGTCAATCACTAACTCTAGCAATTTAATGTTCATAAACCACTAGGTAAACAAGTTCATGCAGTTAAAATGATCATTCAGCTACACATAACTTGAAATCTAAGCAACAAAATTGAAACTAATAACATGCTAGGATTTGATATAACAAACACAAGCTAAACCAACTTCATAAATTCATGAAAAAGCATAAACTAACACATAGTATTAGGGTTCATCAATTACTACGGAGGTGTTATTTTTTTTTTTTCAAAACCCTCTTCTTGACCTCTTATGTCTACGCCGTGCAGACAGCGCGCAGACGTATGCTCTTGCAGACCATTTGTTTTTTAGAAGACCGCAAACCTAAAAATATATGTGTGCCCTCTTCTTAGTCGAGACATGAACATCTCTCTTCTAACCTTTTCTCAATCACTTTAAAAAAACCACAGTATGCAACACACATTTCGTTTGTTCGTTCCTTGATAAATAAAATAATAGATTGGAGGGCTTATATTAGACGCTGCCATTTTTTTTTGTGTCGCAACCATTTTCTTTTCTTTTCTTTTTGTGTCGCTACTTTTCTTCATATCAAGATTCACTTCTTGTTTTATTTTATTACTTTTTCTTTGCCATGCATTATCAACATTTATAATTTGTCATACATAATATTTTAATTATCATTTATTTATCTATTATAAAGAACTCTAATATATTATATGGTCTTCGATATGATCATGTATTCAAGTTAACTTTTAACTATTGCTATAAAAAAGTCATTTGTTTATTTTTAAACATTAAGATAAATTAGTTATTTTATCGGTTAAAAAAAAATATATAATCTCGTTCATTTTAATGCAAGGCAAGAATTATTGTGTGGTTGTATGAATTTTATTTAAGTATTATAGGATTAGAATTATTTAAATTTTGGTGTTGAAATTTTATTTTAAGGTTGTACAATCAGATTCTTTTAGCAATCTGCAGATGTTAAAAAACAAACAGTCTTCTTCTTGCAGACTGCAGAAGTTTGGTCCACCTCTTCTACCGCAGAGGGTTGAAGATGTGGTCCGCAAAATGCTGACCTTTTGGTTTTGAAAAATCAAACAACACCTAAATGAAAGCTTAATAATTTAGCTCATAATTGTAGAAAATAAACAATAAACACGTAAGAGTTTAAGATAAACATGATCAAATCTAAGCAAACCGAATGAATGATGTGAAATTTTGCTACAATCTCTAATCTCTTGATCTTTGATCTTCTCCTCTTTCCAAAGGTTAATTTTCGCAGGTCTTCTGTCCAGAAATCGTCTAGGTCTCCAGAGTTCTTTCAAGTCGATATGATGATCGATATATAGTTTCCTTATGATCGTTCTTCACGTCGTGACCATAAGGGTGTCATGATGTGAACTCAGTGTTTATCTCGTATTCGCCAAGGAAACTTGTACCTCTCCATGTAGGAATCTTCTGGGACATATGGTCACGACGTGAAGAGATAAACGTCACGTCGTGAGCTTTATTTTTACAAATGGAATTGAGATTCTTCTTCCAGCCACGTTGTGGACTTCGGAACACCACACCGTGGGGAATGTTTATAACTTGAAATTTTCTCCTTTAAGCTCCTAACTTCAGCTCCAGTGCTCCAAGTATCCATCTTTTGTTGGTTTCAATCCTTTTTCTTCCAAAATGTCATTTTTGGCTGCAAAACTTCAATTTTAATATATATATATATATATATATATATATATATATATATATATATATATATATATATATATATATATATCACATAGAATCATGCCCACCAACATCACACAAAACAATCCGAATTGAACCCACTAATTATGTGTCGCCTCAATGCATATATTTGTGTCTAAATATCTTAATTACTTCACAAGCCCTAAATACTTATGATCCTCATAAACGTTTTCCACTTATTTTGAACAACATTCATTTTATGCATCCCTCCGATCCATCCTCAGAAAACTTTCTTAACCTCAAGGTACTTTTTGGTTAAGCTCCCATGCATAAATATGGAAAAATAATCTAGAAAGAACAATTACAATAAACAAGCACTTGGCAATTTGCCTTATTCTTCGATATCTTCAACTTGAATTCCAATTTTTTGGAACTTTTGAACTTTTCTTCATACTTTGATCACTTTTTTATTCTTCTCTATTTTTTTATTTTTTATTTTTCTATACTCACTTTTTTCCACTCAAAAACTAAAAATTTCTAAAAAGAAAAACATATGCTTAAGCAAGGGAACTTAGCTTCAACACTTATTGGTTAAAGGCATTAGTTTAAAGTGCAATGACTACATAAGCTCTCCTGGATACATTTCTGGTACACGATGCTAAACATATTATGTCCCTCAAACTACACAAGGTTACGTTTTTGTCTCATGATTTCACTAGAAC